GGGGTGGGGGTGGGGGTCTTCTGTCACCCCCATGGACATGGTTTCTCTGTCGCACTCTCGGATAGGGATGACATGCCGTGAAAAGGAACAATACGGTGACGTCACAGAAACAATAAGATATGACGTCACAATAAACTCAGGCCGAGAGAGGCCATATGCAAATCAGTAAACTTGTTCAATACAGTATTGGCATGAGTGCGTAACTTTTAAATCTTATACCCCATTTCACGTGCTCGACGTCACTCTGGGACAACAATGACGTGACGTCATGAAATCGGAAACATTTGCGACGAGAGAAAAATCCTCTTTCATACAAAGCCTTGGAATTTACCCAATTTTAAAACCCATTTGTAAGGTGGAATTTCCCTATCCTACACCCCTGGGCACGAAAGACACTTATAGTGTCTTAACTGCATTGAAGATGTCACTTTTAGTATTGTCAAATCAGTACGGTACTTTCTAACTATCTGACTAGCTAACTAATTTTTTTTTATTTCATAGGATTAAACTAAAAGAACGTGTATTTTCAGTACACATGTGAAACCCTATCTTAGTGTAATTTAACATATAGTAAACCCCACCAAATAACGGTCAGCAGACCCCACATAGTTCGCTAGCGGAAAAACAGCCTGGTGAAGGGAAAATTGACGCCCACGCCCCCTTTTCGATTTTTGTTAATTTTTCGCCTACGTCAGAAAAGCTTACAAGCGTATATGTCACTTCCTGTAATCTAGTTATGCCAAGAATAGCCGCAAAATCGGATAAACGTATATTCCATACGTATTCTTATAACAGATGTTTTTATATTAAAAAAACTGTTTAAAAGTAATGATAGTTATAGGTAAAACGAGACCTTATCCTCCTATAAAATATATACAGTTTTTTTTATTACAACATGTATCCTGTGATTTTGAGAGAAAACACCTTATCTAATAAAAACATAAATGTTATATATATTGTTTTCACAGACATCTAACCAATTAGCACTATTTACTGTGAAAATAGCAAAATTTGCACATTCTCGTGATGTGATTATGACGTAATAATTAAAAGAAGCGGGCGACGTCGTTTAAGCGCCATCGTCGAGAATTTCTGACAAAATACGTTGTGGTATTTTCAGTATCGAATGGAAAACATGTTATTATTTAAGGCGTGGGATTCATATTCTTTTCATCTGTTCACATATCAAACTTGATATCCAAAGTGTTTGGCGTGTAACTAGTAATCATCGACAAGTAAAGAATATCGAATATCCTTCTGCTCTTGTTGGCCATAAGTTCACAAAATCTTCACGGTAAATTTGATTTTTAACAAGAATTTTGTTGTAAAGTGATTTACTGACGGACTTTGACGAAGTTTGAGCAGCAGCATATGCTTCGATGGGGAAAACCCAATTCGAACTGAAGAAAATCCTGTTTGAGGAAAACCATCTTGTTTAAGCTGAAAAATAATCTAGCTGTAAATTTCGGAGAAAAATCTGCTACAATTAAAACAATCCCCTTTAATTTGGGAATGTTTTCTGCTTCAAATAAATAAATAAATAAATAAATAAAAAAACCCATTAAAAATGACTTACTGCTGTGGCGATATCTGTCGTTTCTGTCTCGTGTTCTGTAACGTATAACTCGCACAAGTTAATAGAAGTAAAACTATCCATACCGTCCGGAACGCGTGGTCCGCCATCCTTACATGACATTAGTGATGACTTCGTCCTCCTCCGTCTTCTTATAGGCCGTCGTCTTATTACGTAACCACAAGCCAGGACCCCATACTTAGGAATCGTATTGCGCTCGAAGTTTCTGTATCATATAAGCATAGTTATTTGTTATTTAGTCTGTGTTTCAAGATAGAGAGTTAAATAAAGGTTTTTATTCTGTGTTACATATAGATTGGAAAGATATGTATTGTATCATTACTAGTGTAATTATATAGTTATATTTTGTTGTGGTAACGTTTTTTCCTTTCTTAATTGACTAAAATTATCAGATAAATCATCAAAAATCCCTGGAGACGTTAGAGCAAAACAGTTGTGATGGTGTAAATCTAGAATATAAATTTTTGTTTTATTTTGTAATGTTTCCCAATTCTAGCCAAATCTCTGCTCATTTCCCCCGCCTTGATCACCTAAGATGTTTATGGAAACAAGCTACTTTCCGATTAGTGCTTAATTAAATCGATCTGACTCCCTTCTCCATACAAGTAAAAAACACAGTGCAGTGGGGCAGAGATCATTGATAAGTCCAAAGTTAACATAAACTAATACGTGTGTAAAAAATGGAACGAAAAAAATAACATCATTCAACGCATCTCAAATAAGTAATAGTTATGTAAGTACTTTCCTAAAACATTTTCTGGTCTTCAATAGCTATCCAAACAGCATTTAAGAACGATTAAGATATCTGTATCACTAACACATTATAAGCTCCCAAGGAGTGTGACAGGGTGCCCGTTATGTGGTATAGGTGTTTATGTTAACGAGGATCTGTGGGTTATCGCGACGGTACCGTTACAGGGCCCTGGTCGTATCATAATTGATATAATTCACTCTATAATTACTCTATCACAATTGTTGAGATTATAATATTCCCAGATAACATCGCACGCGTTATATAGCCCAAACAAGAGGCTACACGTTAGTGAGTTATAATACAAGTGCATGAAGTATGTACAAACTGAGGAAATTAACTTTTATAGTATTTGTCATTCATGTTGAATCTACAATAATATCTTAATTATATGTTATAATAAATCTAAGTGGGGGAATCATTGCTTCTTCCGTAGAAAATATATAACGTCATCGATAGTTCAGGGGTAACGCTCACACTCGCTCTCTGCACCCCTGAAATATGTCATAATAACATTGAAGGCACAGTGTGCGCCACCTTGTGGATGATACAAGAAGACTAGTTCGATCCTTCGATGTACATCAAAAGAATCTCGCGGTCGCGTAACGGAAAAATTAACTGACTTTGAAGTCGGGTGTCGCTCCTTTGTCATCTTCAAAGGACAGGCATCAGCCTAGCGATTGGTCAGGTTTTCTTACCTGAGACCAATCCAATAGCTGTCTTTGTGTCTTCAATTTTGCTACGATATATTCCAGGGGTGCAGAGAGCTGTCACGTTTTGCACTCTCATTGGTCAAATTCTAAATATTGTCCAATTTCACTCGAAATCTACATGTAGTTATTTATTGATATAACAAACGCAATCGCGACCTCCTCTTCAGAGTAGACAATATGCCTGTCGTAAACTGGCCTCTGTTTGATAGAAGTAAGATACTGAACGATTTATCTCGAATTTGGTATGCAGGTATAAAGTATAAACACTGCAAACTATAGTGCGATTTCCTTCTAGTTATTGCAAAATGATGGCCACCATAGACTAACGTCTGGTATTGGTCAAAACCAAATAGTGTCCGATTTCAGGTTTCAATCAAATTTTGAATTGAAGTATATCATAGCACTGTTATCTTTTATGAGATTTTACTTAAGTCTTTGAATACCACGACTACCGTTCACTGGTATCCGATTGGTCGAAATTCCTATTTGCCTAATTTTACTAAAATTTGGTATATATACTAGGTGCATATGTATTATGACATCGCGAGGTCTATCTGACGCATAATTTGATACTATGGAGCAGTTTCGCTATGTCAATATTTTCTGTTAATATTTCTTCTGCTTTTAGATAATTCATTATCTCAACCTATACACCTTAGTAAACTTCCTACATTAATACTACTGTATATATGTGTTTAATGTTATGAAGGTCGATAACTGTTATGTCAAAGATACAACACAGAGCGCTGTAACTGAACATTGATATGCTTAGTGTGGGGTGGTCGGATAGCGTAGTGGTGATCACACTCGCCTTTCACCAAGGCGACCGGAATTCGATTCCCCGATCGGACGTTAAAAGGTTTGGGTTCACCTGCCCGACCACGTGGGTTTTCTCGCGGGTACTCAAGTTTCTTTCCACATTAAGACCCCAAGCGCGCTAACATCCGGGCCAACAAAAGTGATTAATATAAGTTGTAATTACTTGTTTCAAAGTTATTGTGAGATAAAAAAAAGTTAATTTTATGCATACGTGTGTATCTGATTGGTGGAATTTGAAATACTGTCAGAGTTTCCCACGATATGGTCAGTAGTTGTATAATATGACTGTAGACAAACTGTAAAGCAAGATGGCCACCGTTAACTGACTTTGATTGGCCAAAAAAATGAGATATTTAGCCTTCTGATCGGTCAAAATTTAGATATTGCCAGATTTCGCTCACATTCAGGCTTATATGTAACGGTCTACGTCAAAATATACTTGTCTTCCCTGATGTTTAATTTTCTCCTCTGTTGCTGTTGTTTTGGTGTCTCTTGTTCATGTTGTTTAATTGTCTCCCGTTGAACTGTTGTTTTGGTGTCTCTTGTTCATGTTGTTTAATTGTCTCCTGTTGAACTGTTGTTTTGGTGTCTCATCAGTTACTGTTAGTGACTTTTTATCGACTTTGAGTAATAGTTTTGTCCGTGTGTACTGAATCTTATTCAGGACAAGTATGTGTTTCAGCTTGTCTGTCGTTGTCACGTGACAATGGCCCATTTTGTTGTGTCCTCGGTTCCTGTTGTTTTGATGTCTCCTCGGTTCCGGTTGTTTTGATGTCTCCTCGGTTCCGGTTGTTTTGATGTCTCCTCGGTTCCTGTTGTTTTGGTGTCTCCTCGGTTCCGGTTGTTTTGATGTCTCCTCGGTTCCTGTTGTTTTGATATCTCCTCGGTTCCTGTTGTTTTTGGTATCTCCTCGGTTCCTGTTGTATTGGCGTCTCCTCGGTTCCGGTTGTTTTGATGTCTCTTCGGTTCCTGTTGTTTTGGTGTCTCCTCGGTTCCTGTTGTATTGGCGTCTCCTCGGTTCCGGTTGTTTTGATGTCTCCTCGGTTCCGGTTGTTTTGATGTCTCCTCGGTTCCTGTTGTTTTGGTGTCTCCTCGGTTCCGGTTGTTTTGATGTCTCCTCGGTTCCGGTTGTTTTGGTGTCTCCTCGGTTCCTGTTGTTTTGGTGTCTCCTCGGTTCCTGTTGTTTTGATGTCTCCTCGGTTCCGGTTGTTTTGATGTCTCCTCGGTTCCTGTTGTTTTGGTGTCTCCTCGGTTCCGGTTGTTTTGATGTCTCCTCGGTTCCTGTTGTTTTGGTGTCTCCTCGGTTCCGGTTGTTTTGATGTCTCCTCGGTTCCTGTTGTTTTGGTGTCTCCTCGGTTCCGGTTGTTTTGATGTCTCCTCGGTTCCTGTTGTTTTGGTGTCTCCTCGGTTCCGGTTGTTTTGATGTCTCCTCGGTTCCTGTTGTTTTGGTGTCTCCTCGGTTCCGGTTGTTTTGATGTCTCCTCGGTTCCTGTTGTTTTGGTGTCTCCTCGGTTCCGGTTGTTTTGATGTCTCCTCGGTTCCGGTTGTTTTGGTGTCTCCTCGGTTCCTGTTGTTTTGGTGTCTCCTCGGTTCCTGTTGTTTTGATGTCTCCTCGGTTCCGGTTGTTTTGATGTCTCCTCGGTTCCTGTTGTTTTGGTGTCTCCTCGGTTCCGGTTGTTTTGATGTCTCCTCGGTTCCTGTTGTTTTGGTGTCTCCTCGGTTCCGGTTGTTTTGATGTCTCCTCGGTTCCTGTTGTTTTGGTGTCTCCTCGGTTCCGGTTGTTTTGATGTCTCCTCGGTTCCTGTTGTTTTGGTGTCTCCTCGGTTCCGGTTGTTTTGATGTCTCCTCGGTTCCTGTTGTTTTGGTGTCTCCTCGGTTCCGGTTGTTTTGATGTCTCCTCGGTTCCTGTTGTTTTGGTGTCTCCTCGGTTCCGGTTGTTTTGATGTCTCCTCGGTTCCTGTTGTTTTGGTGTCTCCTCGGTTCCGGTTGTTTTGATGTCTCCTCGGTTCCTGTTGTTTTGGTGTCTCCTCGGTTCCGGTTGTTTTGATGTCTCCTCGGTTCCTGTTGTTTTGGTGTCTCCTCGGTTCCGGTTGTTTTGGCGTCTCCTCGGTTCCTGTTGTTTTGATATCTCCTCGGTTCCTGTTGTTTTGGTGTCACCTCGGTTCCTGTTGTTTTGGTGTCACCTCAGTTCCTGTTGTTTTGATGTCTCCTCGGTTCCGGTTGTTTTGATGTCTCCTCGGTTCCTGTTGTTTTGGTGTCTCCTCGGTTCCTGTTGTTTTGGTGTCTCCTCGGTTCCGGTTGTTTTGATGTCTCCTCGGTTCCTGTTGTTTTGGTGTCTCCTCGGTTCCGGTTGTTTTGATGTCTCCTCGGTTCCTGTTGTTTTGGTGTCTCCTCGGTTCCGGTTGTTTTGATGTCTCCTCGGTTCCTGTTGTTTTGGTGTCTCCTCGGTTCCGGTTGTTTTGATGTCTCCTCGGTTCCTGTTGTTTTGGTGTCTCCTCGGTTCCGGTTGTTTTGATGTCTCCTCGGTTCCTGTTGTTTTGGTGTCTCCTCGGTTCCGGTTGTTTTGATGTCTCCTCGGTTCCTGTTGTTTTGGTGTCTCCTCGGTTCCGGTTGTTTTGATGTCTCCTCGGTTCCTGTTGTTTTGGTGTCTCCTCGGTTCCGGTTGTTTTGATGTCTCCTCGGTTCCTGTTGTTTTGGTGTCTCCTCGGTTCCGGTTGTTTTGATGTCTCCTCGGTTCCTGTTGTTTTGGTGTCTCCTCGGTTCCTGTTGTTTTGATGTCTCCTCGGTTCCGGTTGTTTTGATGTCTCCTCGGTTCCTGTTGTTTTGGTGTCTCCTCGGTTCCGGTTGTTTTGATGTCTCCTCGGTTCCTGTTGTTTTGGTGTCTCCTCGGTTCCTGTTGTTTTGGTGTCTCCTCGGTTCCGGTTGTTTTGATGTCTCCTCGGTTCCTGTTGTTTTGGTGTCTCCTCGGTTCCTGTTGTTTTGATGTCTCCTCGGTTCCGGTTGTTTTGATGTCTCCTCGGTTCCGGTTGTTTTGGTGTCTCCTCGGTTCCGGTTGTTTTGGTGTCTCCTCGGTTCCGGTTGTTTTGGTGTCTCCTCGGTTCCGGTTGTTTTGGTGTCTCCTCGGTTCCGGTTGTTTTGGTGTCTCCTCGGTTCCGGTTGTTTTGGTGTCTCCTCGGTTCCGGTTGTTTTGGTGTCTCCTCGGTTCCGGTTGTTTTGGTGTCTCCTCGGTTCCGGTTGTTTTGGTGTCTCCTCGGTTCCTGTTGTTTTGGTATCTCCTCGGTTCCTGTTGTTTTGGTATCTCCTCGGTTCCTGTTGTTTTGGTGTCCCCTCGGTTCCGGTTGTTTTGATGTCTCCTCGGTTCCTGTTGTTTTGATGTCTCCTCGGTTCCGGTTGTTTTGGTGTCTCCTCGGTTCCTGATGTTTTGGTATCTCCTCGATTCCTGTTGTTTTGGTATCTCCTCGGTTCCTGTTGTTTTGGTGTCCCCTCGGTTCCGGTTGTTTTGATGTCTCCTCGGTTCCGGTTGTTTTGGTGTCTCCTCGGTTCCTGTTGTTTTGGTATCTCCTCGGTTCCTGTTGTTTTGGTATCTCCTCGGTTCCTGTTGTTTTGGTATCCCCTCGGTTCCGGTTGTTTTGATGTCTCCTCGGTTCCGGTTGTTTTGGTGTCTCCTCGGTTCCTGTTGTTTTGGTATCTCCTCGGTTCCTGTTGTTTTGGTATCTCCTCGGTTCCTGTTGTTTTGGTGTCCCCTCGGTTCCGGTTGTTTTGATGTCTCCTCGGTTCCTGTTGTATTAGCGTCTCCTCGGTTCCGGTTATTTTGGTGTCTCCTCGGTTACTGTTGATGACTTTCGTTTTGAGTTTGTCCTTGTGTACTGAAGCTCTTGCATCATTATGCTTAAAATACATCACGTGACCTCATTATGATTCGCTTCGAATATTATTAGATTTTTCCCGGATCGAATTAGCAATACCTAGGATGTCATGGAGACAGATGACTGGGGTGACACAGCCCAACGAAGAAAGAGAAGATAAGGTAGAAAACACCACGTGATATTGGTTTCGTCGTTTATTTATTCGTATTTTAGTTTCTGTATCGCGAGACGACGGAACTAAGTGGCGCTAATATCGTTGCTTCCCTAGCACAACGTGAAGACAGTTAAAGAACACCAGCTGTATTTTATGGTTAGCGTATTAGCGAACGAATTTCAGTATCCAATATTAAATCCAGATGATTTTTTTACTGGAAGTATTAAATTCAAATCAATTTTGTTTTGTAAAAAGGTATAACAAGTAATGATAACAATTCTGTGACAATAAATAATTATCGTTACAGTTATGAGATATATATTTACATAAAACAAGAGGCCCAATGGGCCTGAATCGCTCACCTGGTATTAATCTCACACTTGTAATCTTAAAAGTGGACTAAAATGCAGCTACAGGAAGAATATCAGTGTTTGATTCATAAGAGCCTATTAAAAGATTTAAACATATGACGCCTGTGACCTTGAATGTCGAACAAGGACATTAGGTTAAACAGAGTTTAAAGTCTTCGAACCCAGCATGCTTTTGGCAAAATATCATAACCCTGGACCTATTGGTTATACAGAACAAGTCATTTAAAGATTTAAACATATATTGACCACTGTGCCCTTGAATATGGGCGAAGGTCATTCATTTTGACAAAATTGGTAGCCCTTCATCCCAGCCTGTTAATGACCAAATATCATCGGCCCCTGTGACCTTGAANCATCCTGGCATATTACTGGCCAAATATCATTATCCTAGGCTTCTTAGTTATTCAGAAGAAAATGTTTAAAGATTTGTTAAGACAATTGACCCCTGTGACCTTGAAAATCGACAAAGGTCATTCATTTGAACAAACATGGTAGCCCTTAATCACAGCATGCTACTGGCCAAGTTTCGTAACCCTATGCCTCTTAGTTATTCAAAAGCAGTTGTTTAAAGGGTTTAAACATATTTGACCCCTGTGACCTTGAAAATAAGTAAAGGTCATTCATTTGAACAAACTTGGTAGCCCATCATCCTGGCATGTTACTGGCCAAATATCATTATCCTAGGCTTCTTAGTTATGCAGAAGAAGTTGTTTAAAGATTTGTTAAGACAATTGACCCCTGTGACCTTGAAAATGGACGAAGGTCATTCATTTGAACAAACTTGGTAGCCCTTAATAACAGCATGCTACTGGCCAAATATCGTAACCCTATGCCTCTTTGTTATTCAAAATAAGTTGTTTAAAGGTTTTTAACATATTTGACCCCTGTGACCTTGAATATAAGTCAAGGTCATTCTTTTGAACAAAATAGGAAGCCCTTTATCCCAGCATGCTAATGGCGAAATACCTTAACCCTAGGCCTCTTAGTTATTCAGAAGAAGTTGTTTAAAGGTTTTTAACATATTTGACCCCTGTGACCTTGAATATAAGTCAAGGTCATTCATTTGAACAAACTTGGTAAACTTGACCCCTGTGACCTTGAAAATAGACGAAGGTCATTCATTTGAACAAACTTGGTAGCTTGTCATCACAGCATGCTACAAGCCAAATAGCATCATCATAGGCCTTTTGGTTATTGAGAAGAAGTTGTTTAATTTTTTTAACATATTTGACCCCTGTGACCTTGAAAATATGTGAAGGTCATTTATTTGAACAAACTTGGTAGCCCTTCATCCTAGTTTGCTTCTGGCCAAATATTATCACCCTAGGCCTTTTGGTTATTAAGAAGAAGTTGTTTAAAGTAAAATATTGACGCCGGACGACGGACGCAGGACGACGGACGGACGACGGACGCTGCACTATGGCATAAGCTCACTAAAAATGCAATAAATTCCATAATAAAAGAATAAAGTTAGATCACATTTTTAATTAAGTTTCACATTTTGCTTTATAAGAGTATTGCTTATTGATCAATGGTGGAAAGATTTAGGTTGAGAAGAGAAGTAGTTGATCATTCAAAGGGAGATAACTGGTACTAAGTTTCGTCTGTATTTCGGGACAAAGTACACCTATGATTATAGACAGACGAGGCTATTACCTGTGAACTCACAACTATATACAGACAAACACGATTATTTTCATTAAGAATTTGTATTAAAGAGGGAGGTTGCTTTTGATCTTTTAATAGATCGGTTACAGACCATCTGTCGTAATATATATCATGAAGTGTTGACCTATTTCTTCACACTTATCAGCTGACTTCTGGTCACGTGACATACTGTAACAAGGAAGTTTATAGTTAGGTGGCGTTTCTCTGTTTGCGAATCAAGTTTTTCACATATACACAAAAACAGCCGACAATATGGCAAGTAACAGATCCGTACGACGTGCCCAGGAACCCGTTACCTACACGTGTGCTTTGTGTGACAGTGAAGACGGGGTACGATGGTATTGTAACGACTGCAGGATAATTTATGTGACCGGTGTAAGGAAGCCCATTCGCGCGGAAAGAAAACCAAACACGACGAGGTGGTATTGATAGGAGAGGCTAACCGCCAGGGCGACAAGCCTGTACCGGAGGTATGTAAACTACACCCCGGTAAACTGTGTGACGTGTACTGTTGTGATTGTGACATACTGATGTGTTTGATGTGTTTTTCCCAGACACACAAACAACACAACTGGAAACATTTTGAAGACGAATTTCAAATCAAAAAGCAACATTTACAAGAACATATGACAGCAATATCTACTAGAATTGCACACTTCAAGAACGTGACGTCGAAGCATGGTCACAAAACATTCAAATGTAACATTGATACAATGAGAAAAGACGTTAACACACAACGGGCAATGATGAAGTCAGAAATAGATTCTATCGCGGATGCAGTCCTGGCCGAGTTATCGTCCCTGGAAAAGGAAGAAGCAGTAGTGCATCAAAAAGATTGTCAAGAGTTGGAGAAAAATGTCAGAGAGTTGACAAGTCTGCTTGAAAAAGCGGAAATGACGGATACAACGAGTACATTTGAAATGGAAAGGTCATTGAGGACGACTCTACCATTGTATGATGTTAATGTGAAGGATGTTCTACCGAAACTACCAAGCTTTGTTACCGGAAGTATCGACCGCGTCCTGTTGACGAAAATGTTAGGTGAATTACATCACGGGAACCAGTACGAGAAGACAGACATCGACAGTAAACACGTTCAACGTCTCTCTAAGTTTACTGTTACTCAACAAAATCAAAATCAAATAATGTGTATATGTACCGTCGACGACAGCCACGCGTGGTTATCAATATACCACCACCAGGGTCTGGTACTGGTCAACAGGGAGGGTGTGGTCATAGAGACAGTAAAACTGGACTTCTGTCCGTACATGATCACCATGGTCGGGACAACAGACATACTTATGACCAGTAATGAACCTAGAACATTTGTATATAAACTATCACTACACAACAAAGAAGTGACAACATTTGCTGACATCAGACCACATAAAGCACGTGATATCAGTATCAACGAGAGAGGCGAGGTGTTTGTTAGTACAGCTTCACCAGACATAGTGGTACTGAATCAGTCAGGTACGATTGTGAGGAAAATGGCGTGTGGAATGAATGGGCGGTGTATTACATGTTTGTCGTCAGGATACATTGCAGTGTCGGACTTAAGTAATGTATCAATCGTAACTGACAGTTCTGGTAAAACCAAATATAAATGGACTGGTGAACTCAACAACGGTCAACAGGTTGGTAGTAGGGACCTCTGTAAGATGTCATGTGACAAGTACGACAGACTGTTTGTACCAGACTACACTAACAACCAGGTGCATGTCCTACCGAGAGATAGTACACAGGCCACGTGTCTCCTGGACCAGAAACATGGAGTGATAAGCCCTACAGCGGTGGCTGTAGACACGTGTGGGAACGTGTGGATCGGGTGTGAGGACGGTACCGTACACGTGATGCGACTGTAGAGTTAGACAAGTATATTGTGACATACAGAAATCTGTGGTAATGATAGAACATATCGCCTGGTAAAAATGTGTTTAGAGATAATCCCTTAATGTTCTACCTGTACTACATATATAGATATATAGAATTGAATGGATCAGTCATTGATATGTGGTGTAAATTTGACGTTGACGTTATTTAAGGAATGATTTTTATTTTTTCAACATTTATGAGGTCATAACAACAATGGGTTTATGGACATATTGAATGAATCGCGTTAGCGATTCATGTAAAATATGTCCAAAAACCCATTGTTGTTATGACCTCATAAATGTTGAAAAAATAAATATCATTCCTTATATTTACATTGACGAATCCTTTCAGTGGATCGATATAACAACGAATAAAACAAATAAACAGGGTTTGTTCCTGCTTATACACGGGTGCAACGCAGTGGCGAGAACAGTGTTTTTTCGCGGGGAAATGTGACACTATCGTGAGAGATCTTAGCAACCGTCAACAACAATAACACAACAAAATGTAGTTCCATATTCAATGTTTATTTGTAGCACAGGACACGTGAATACGTGGATATTTCACAAAGCACAGTTCAATAATATTTTAAGATGTAAGAATTAAGCATCTAGGTCGGTCGTTCCGAGTGAGTAGTTTTTGTAGTGTATTACTACGCAGTGTGATCAGGTTACTATCAGTTCCCACGTGCTGAGATTCTATGAACACCTGTGTTATGCATTTATGAATGTAATTTTTGTCAATGGGTCTAAGCATACAGAATGTAAATATTAAGGTGTGAAGCTAGATAACCAGTAACGTTAACGGTTGATAGCAAACTGTATGTTGCATGTAATGGAAATAGTGGACTGAAACAAAGTGGAACCGCATCTACCCGGAAAATTTGTTTCCAAAAGAAAAGTTTAGTTTGTACTGAATATATGTGCTAAAAAAATGCTTTCCCGGACAAACAAAATATGCCCGTGTTTGGGGCAGTCTTTTAATCACCTGTTGTGACAACAGATGGATTCAATTGACTTTGTTTTGATCTATCCTCTATACAATAATGTTATCTCTCATAAACTTAATTTTTGGTTTATTTTGCCTATAATTATTTGGACGGTTGTCGTTGTATAAAGAAATTTTCAGTTATAAATGATAGTTTTCTTACATTTTAGAATGATTGGATATATATATATATGTACATTTTGTATAGCAATATGAAAGTGTGATAAAATATAAAACGAAGGATACACATATATATACTTCAGTTTCTCAGATAATGATCACAATAACGTTTGGACCAATAATCTGTCATTTACACAAGTTTTATTTTCTTATATTCAGGCAAAATTCTCAAAATAAAAAAAACTGAAAACGTTTTTACAATTCATTAATCCAGGTTTTTTAAAAGAAATAAAAAATACAATATTGTTTCCCTAATTTTAACATATATAAATTTTAAATGGAATATCAGAATATCTATATATCACTATTTTCAAAAACCTACAGTGTATTTAAATGTATGTGTTACACTGTGGTACGTGTGTGATGTTATCTTGATCTACTTTACATAGCGTGACACAATGTAATCACTTGTGTTTATACAAACACATGCACTATCATGTGTTTGGACGGAAAACAAAAGGAAAGTTACTTTTAATTATTCCTGTATCTATGAAATAATAAAACTATAAACATCCATATAACGTTGTGTTTATTCATTTGTAAATCAGAATATATTAGAATAAAGAACATAGTCAATTACACTTTAGTAGATACAGATGATCGAGGGTAAACATTGACAGGATTTGAAGTCGGGTGTCTTTCCTTTGTAATCTTCAAAGGACAGGTATCAGCCTAGCGATTGGTCAATTTTTTTTAACCTGAGGCCAATCAAACAGCTTTATTCGCGCCTTCAATTTTGCTATGACATATTCCAGGGGTGTAGAGAGCGAAAGTGAGCGTAACCCCTGGATATCGAGGATGGTTGTAAGTATACTAGAGAGCGAGCTTTCAAGGATGGGGTATGTCTAAATAAGACTGTTACCCATTACGATCGCTCAATCGAAAGTATCATAACTTACAAGAGCGAGGTATCGTGTTGCTTCGGGTCCGCTACATTGATAAACCACGGGTACTGTGAGAGCTCGTTAGATTGCTTTATGGAGTTATAGGGACCACCGAGTGGTCAGGGTAACTTAAGGTTAGCAACCAAGAGGAGTTCTATAGATTGTACATTACTCGTATATGTAGTGCTGTCGAGCTATCATTGTAGCGAAACATCTGCCGTACTGAGCTCTTCGAGCTATCGTCAGAGTACAGGTAGGGTGGTCGAGCCATCATGGTAGCGAGACATCTGCCGTACTAAGCTTTCCGAGCTATCGTCAGAGTACATGTAGGGTGGTCGAGCTATCTTTGTAGCGGGACATCTGCCGTACTGAGCTCTTCGAGCTATCGTCAGAGTACATGTAGGGTGGTCGAGCTATCATGGTAGCGTGACATCTGCTGTACTGAGCTTTCCGAGCTGTCGTCAGAGTACAGGTAGGGTGGTCGAGTTATCTTTGTAGCGAGACATCTGCCGTACTGCGCTTTTTGAGCTATCGCCAGAGTACAGGTAGGGTGGTCGAGTTATCTTTGTAGCGAGACATATGCCGTACTGAGCTTTTAGAGCTATCGTCAGAGTACATGTAGGGTGGTCGAGCTATCTTTGTAGCGAGACAGCTGCCGTACTGAGCTTTCCGTGCTATCGTCAGAGTACAGGTAGGGTGGGCGAGCTATCATGGTAGCGAGTTACCTGCCGTACTGAGCTTTTCGAGCTATCGTAAGAGTACAGGTAGGGTGGTCGAGTTATCTTTGTAGCGAGACATATGCCGTACTGAGCTTTTAGAGCTATCGCCAGAGTACAGGTAGGGTTGTCGAGCTATCTTTGTAGCGAGACATCTGCCGTACTGAGCTTTTTGAGCTATCGCCAGAGTACAGGTTGGTTGTCGAGACCAGTGTCGCGGACAGTGAGAGATCAGCGAGCGATCGGCCGCGTGTGTATATGCACGTTCTGAGCAATCAGTAGTGGGAGCGCTCAGTTAGATTAATATTAGGTGTTTTTATTGTTCTATACGTAGTTATTTTGCATTTACTGTTACACAGATACTGCTTTGTATATATCCCCTGTATATATTTATTAGTAAAAGACGTCCATGATCACAAGCAGTGATTGCTCGGACATAGACAATGTTGCAGAGCTACATTAACGTATCTGTATATATTTGTATCTATACTAGAGTATTGATACACCTCAGTTGAGGTAGGTATATATACTCGCCGGAATCTCCAGTATGACTGGTACGGTCAAAGGGGAAACGTCACAAATGCTAAGATCGATTTTAATTCTACATTGAGGGTTTGTGATTTCTAACGTCGCAGATATACAATCAGTGAGAGGACGTTAACGTAAACCTACGGAAGCCGTGTTTAACATTATACAGCAATACCTAACAGAGGGTACCTTATCAGTAAGTGACTTTTATAAGACGTACATGTTTACGATCTGTCAATACAGCACATCCTTGACTGATAAAATTGGATTGTCTAATACACGTGATTGACTTTTCGCTAGTAACTTTACATCATAAAGGTATTCACATTGCATTACACACGTGCGTTTACATCGTAAAACACACGTGTTAATTTTGTATTATACACGTGTACACATTGCATAACAACACACAGCACAAACTACTTATAACTATACAATTAATTAGATCATAATATACCGGTGACATACCTATACATTTCATGCCATATCTCTTAAATATGTGTGGTGATTTAATGTACATATTGTTGTTGTTGTTGACTCACCTATTGCATTCTAGCTTTTGAAAACAAATCTAGGTCGACAGAAGTAATGAGAGATAGAAACGGAGAGGCAGTGTCCGACTGGAGGAGACGAAACAGATAGACAGGAACAGACAGACTGACTGACAGGCACAGACAAAGAGACAACACAAAACACATACAAATGCTATGATATTGTAAGTGTAATGAATCTTACAAAGCTTCAGAAACCCAACTTCTTAACAAAGAGTAATTTTAAAACGCGTGTAGACGTATTATCTTAATTGGTATTTAGCGTTGACTCTATTTATAAAAATATTATACATATAACTGTAACAGTTGTTAGCTGAAATGTCAATAGTGACATCCTTTGCAGAAGCGCAAACATTTAATATTATATTTACATTTCCTCTGCAATGTCTTCTATAAGCATTACCAGAAGTAATTGCATTCTTAGAGCTATGAACGCATTTTGATCAGTGTCATTCTGAAGCTTTTCCTTCCGCTTCCAATAACATGAGACAACCGTTAGAAGAAAACATTTTGTTGACGTTAGGCTGTTCCAGGAATATCTTTTCCACTGACGACACATACACTTCAATATCGAAAATAAAAGGGAATATCTATATATAGGTCAATACAAACTAAAACGTTATAATGTAAATATACGGAATGAACGGTATTTTTTCAATGTTTATGCTGGTATGTACGTAAATCGGTTATGTTGATATTTACCACGAAGCCCGAATTTGTCTTTGACCGATTCGCGTTCAAACAAGCAATCAAATAAAAAAGGTCCGTTCAATCCTTATATGAATATCAAAAGTCTTCAATCTAGTGCAGTTTTGGACATTTTTAAGAAACGGTTAATATTTTCATTTTTTTTAAAATATAGAAGTCATTCCTTTTCAAAAGTTTGTCTCAAATAACTCGTTTTAGGAAACTCGCAACACACACATTTATGCTTACACATATATTAATAGATAAACAATAGTGGCAAAGGTATCCAGGACAATTTAGATACTTGATTTGTTTGTTGAGTTACATTTCTATTATTTGAAATGAACTCATATTGAATTCATATCCATTTAACCCTACACTGAAAGGTAGAATACCAACTTCAATGATACAGTATGTCAAAATAGGGATTCTGTCATACATCAAGCAGTTTGTGCATGGAAAGCATGGGGATGAAATTAAAACAAAAACAAAGAGCTACATGATATTTTTTTTCAACCTCAGCTATGATTTTAAGGTCAACTCAGGACGCATTCTTCAAAAAACATAATAGCCATTATATACAGTATAGATGATCTAAATTGATTGTTATGTCTCTATATTTACTATAATGTACAGGATATTGTATATATATCAAATGTAATGCAAGTATCTATTTACTGTAATGTACAGTGTAGATTATTTATATTTATTGTAGAGTATATATTACCTGTATTAACAGTTATATACAGTATAGATTATCTATATTGGCTGTTATAAGGGTATAGATTATCTTTCGTAAAATTCCATTCACAAAGTATTGGTTGATAAAAAAATAACCGAATACACAGCACAAAACGATCGTTAAAGATAAAGTAAATGCTCTTGGAAATGTGGTTAATTAGTTAATGCGATCGCGTAGTATAATCCTAGTTGCGATATTTTATTTCATCCGAAGTTTACCAAATACTCATAAATGCTTGTAAAACTTGCATCAGGAGAATGTGTCTGTGAAAACAAGTAACTACATGTATTTTATTTATGAAATTTGCCCCTCTTTACCAACCAAAAGCCTGAATCTTAAAAAAATGTGATGAGAAAGTCGATGTTTTGTTTACAAACAGTTTTGTAAAAGATGATTTTATAAGACAACTGGTTCATTTGGCTTATTTTCACAAAAGCACTTGAAGATTTGGATCTTTCATCAGATTAATTCCATAACATCGCCCAAATCCAGCACCGAATAGAAATATTGTTGTTGCAGTAATAGTTCGTGTCCGGAAATGACTAACGCCACACCAGGTAACATGTCTCTAACTAATCCAAACTTGTATTCCAATGCTCGTTTGTCTCCATGTGATATGCTGTAGCATGTATATGGTGTGTGGTTTGATGCCAATATTGATGGATATTATGTTATTGCGTTAAAAGATATTAAAATGATCAGACTTTGGCCATTATGATGAAGGCAGCTCTATAAAGCACTTTCGCTTTGGCAGACTACAGTTGGTTCTTTCTATCATAATAATATTTCGAAATCAGTGTTTCGGTTTTAATTTTCCAACCATTTTTGTTTGTTATGCCTTTAAAACTATAGTCGCTCATTTTCTATGTATGGACTGATTGAACCTAAACAGACACTCCATTTCAGGATGACATAACCCTAGCATTTACCCAAAAAAATTAACCTTATTCAATATCACCCTTGACAAGCAGTCCATCAATTTTGTCAAAAATGAGACTTATTATAGACATTTACATTTTAGTAAAAAAAATGTTTTAGATATAATGACAGTGGTCAACAACGGGAAACATGGCGACACTCAGTGGCGAACCCAGGGGTGTTGCCCTAGTTTTGACTGTGCGAGCAAGGTGCGTACATTTTCAAGTCATATCCTACAAAGTCCGATTTGATTTATGACATGCCGGAGAAAGAGGCCATTGTATATATGTATTTGTTAAGTATAAACGACCATTGCGTGTTTTTTCGGTAATGGGACAATAGAAATCAGAAAATCTGAGAAAAAGAATGCTTCCATTTGCATTTCAACATCAGCACTTGAGATTTTCTGAAAGATCGTATTCACATATTCAACATTGTACAATAAATGTGTTAAAACAAGGTTTTTATCGTTACGCTTGGTGGGCTGATTTTCAACAGGTGTTAGAACTAGGAGTTGATCCGTCTCGTATCATCTACGCCAATCCGTGCAAACAAAACTCACATCTGACTTACGCCAAGGAGCACAATGTAGACCTGATGACCTTTGACACTGAGGAGAAGTTGATCAAAGTCAAAATGTTGTATGGATCAGCATTAATATCCGTCTGTGTTGAAGCAGTATTCTTTGTGTTACAGAATACTCATGCGATTCCGACCGAAAAATATGTATGAAGTAATGTACGACCTGGGAAAAAAGTTTGGTTGTGACTTTGAAGAAGCGATGTGTTTGTTTATATCGGCAAAGAACAAAGGCTCGACCGTTATTGGTGTATGGTGAGTTACATACAAACAAATAATATAGTATAAATTAAAATACAAATAAGTTCAGAATTTAAATACGGCTTACTTTTTATCAATCCTTATTTAATAATTCTAGAGAGTAATTTCTGGATGTTAAATATTAATTCATTTTTTTAGTTTTCATGTTGGAAGTAACTTCTTACTTCCAACGCATTTGCGTCGGCAATCAAAGAAGCTCGGAAGATATTTGACATAGGACTACATATCGGCTTTGACATGAACGTCCTGGACATTGGAGGTGGATTCCGAGGGAGATATGTTGAACGACCGACTATAGAAGAAGTATGTGATATAGTAACAGTAGAAATATTAACCTGGAAACTGGTATTTATTCGATCAATTAGGTAACAAATACTTTTCTTTTTTTGACGTCAATAGTAAATTGCGTTCACAATAGCATATTCATCTGTACAAAACTTTATATTATTATTATTACATCAAAACGAAATTAGAATGAATCAAGCTTAGCGCAAAAATGCTAAAATGTTAAAGAAACAAAAACAAAGCTTTCAGCTCGATTTATGGATGTTTTACATTTTATATCGGTCACATGATATCTATGTTATTAATTGTTTGATATTCTGTATACAGAATGCAGAGGTTATAAATCAGTGCCTTGATGATTATTTCCCTGAAGCAGGCGGAGTAAAAATAATTGCTGAGCCAGGACGTTACCTTGTAGAAACTGCTGTCAGTACTGCAGCCAATATCATAGGCCGGAAGCTTATCTATGATAATGGTTTGTGCAAAGTTGTTAATGTCTTATTTTTTTGTTGTTGATGAGTACATATGTTTTTGGTTGCATGAACTTTGACCTCTTTGCTGCGATTACAATAAATGAACATCAACACTAATTATATTTTTTTTCTCCCTTATTTTTTGCACTTGCACTTTCTGTCGAATGTCTCTTTATATAACATAACCAATCATCTTTTTGTCTGTTTTTTTTTGCTTTGTTCTGTTTTAGTATGTTTTTGTTTTAATTTTTTAACTTTTTATTACATTTTCCTTTCCTTTGTTAATTTCCGTTGTTCGCTTTAAATGTTTCTAGACTGTGTTAGTTTTGTACGGCATTAAAAAAAAGTTTGGTGTTAATCAGGTCAGTCTATCACTATCAAATGTTCTCGTAGGTCCGTTAGTCATGTCAAATTGATTCATAAGTTACTTGACACCAAACGCACCTGAATATTATGTTAAAGTTTGTGAGATACATTTAATAATTTGTTTATTGATTTATTGTTCCTTTACCTGACCCTTTTCTACGTGTTTTACAGGAAGCAGAATTCAATAGAAAAAAATACAAATAAATTATCTGCTTCTAAGAGTGTTTACAGGAAATTGAACTTTATCAATTATGCATGGCTTTATTTGCTTGCTTTTCCAGATAAATCCAGTATTGTACATGTTATGTACATCATTAATGATGAAGCGTATGGTACCTTTGCGTGGGTAAAAGAAGTCACGGAGGTGTTTGTAATGTCACCAGTTCTTAACAAGGTACATCTTCTTACATAAACGACATAGTTTATTATACCTTCGCAGTGATGTTAATGGATACATATCAAATGATTATTAAGTCTTAAGATTCCGTCTTTTTAGCATTTTTCAGTTTGTATTCCAGATACTAAGTTTCGATAAATATTTAAGTAGAGAAGTTTTCGAAATATTAAATCAAAAACAAATATAAGAAACAATTCCTGATGAAATCTGTTTAAGTTTTTATGTTCTTTATAGAAAATCAAGATTTGAGAACTGAGTGCGAATTCGAAGTAAAAATCATAAAAAAATATTTTGATAAACCTTCTATGACTTACTATTAAAATGGTGGTCTGGCAACAGAACGATGCGATAGCATCTTATTGACTTTAATGTAGCATCATTGTTGTGGGAGCAATATGCAGTGTGATGCTGCATATCTATAACCCTTTGAACCACTTAGTTTTGCAATATGGCACGATGTCTTGTTCAAGATGTCTTCAACATTTCGGCTCCCCTTATTTTCTACTGCTGATTTTACCTCGGTGTGATTTTATTTTATTTTATTTTTCTGAGATTAATTTTACGTAGAGAGTGTTTTATGGTGGAATTAATCATTTTGAAGAACAAAATCATACAATATCTACAAAAAACGTTTTCAGAAATCAAAGAATATTGCACAGAAAAAAGGGATAGCATTTTCTTCTAAATTATGGAAATAAACATTCTTCAACTTATATTTTGATACCTTTTGCACATGCATGTTTCCTTAAAAAATTGTTCATAATTTGTTACATATAATAAAATCTTGTTACATCAGACCAAAACAAGATTTGAACGTGATTTAAATCTCAGAAGAGCAGATTCTAAAGTAATGTTCAGTTAGAAACCGTATAAATTGTGTTAAGTTGGCAAAGAAGATGAAAACGATGTGATGACAAAACATTAATAGGAACTCGATAAATCTAGGACAAAACTTCGTTTATGTTGTCTTCAGGCGAGTAAAGAGAAACACCACAGCACGGTATGGGGTCCAACAATTTGTGGCACTGATTTGCTTAGCAACAGACATGCCACTACCACTGATGGAGGTCGGAGAGTGGGTACAGATCAGTTACGCAGGATCCTACTCGTTCAGCTGCAGTACCAACTTTAACAGCATGCCACGATTTATTACTTCCGTTCAAGCGACAGTGGTACGTAATAAATTTGTTTCTTGGCAACAACTTTTTATGATATCGATAAAACATTAGTTAATGAATATTGTATTTTTTTCATTTTTATGAAAATAATCAATTAATAAATCCACTGTTTTTAGTTCATCAGATTTTGATTTCAATTTTTTTTAACAACAATTATGAAACAACGTATTTCAACTTTTATTAGTCACTATTGTTGGCCCAGATGTTAGCACGCGTTGGTTTGTTAGGGTTCTTACTGTGGGAGTAAACTGGCGTACCCGGAGAGAACCTTCCCGACCACGTGGGTTTTCTTCGGGTACTCCGGTTTCCTCCTACATTATGACCCCCTGTGCTAACAGCCGGGCCGAAAAAAAATTTGGCAAAAGCTGAAATAACTAGTTTCAAATTGTTGTAAATTACATAAAGTTTATATTTTTATCTTGAATGTTCAATAGGTTCTCTTTAGTTAATGGATCTTTGAAGATAAGCAGTATCTGTTGATACCAGATCATCAACAGCCTTTGTGTAGACAGGTAAGTGATGGTATTTACGTTGGCAATGGATTTATGTGATCTTGTTATTTTGTTATCTTATTGCAAAGAAAAAAACGTTAACGTTGCAGTTGAAATTCAGTCCCATATGTTACGTTACTATTATCTTTGAATAATACCATCAACGTGATATATTCAAATTGATGATAAAAATATCAGATCGGAAAGATCTACTGGCAACAGCATCAATTATGTTTCTACTTCCAATACGTGCACTGTTGTAAATGTATTGGTCGTACTTTTTGGAAGGTTTATATTATTAAGGTAACAGCAAAGTTTACACAATTTGTTGATAAAATTAGGAAAATACTTTTGTTATACACTACTTGATGTGTTAAATATGAAAATACTAATGTTACACCAGAAAAAAACCCATTGTCAAATACAAGGAGGGTGTTGTATCTTTGAGCAAGATACTTTACTCCGCTTGTTCCAGTCTACTCAGCTGTAAATGAGTATGTGGTTGGGCAGTGCTAGAATTGTAGAATGCTAGCCGTGAGCGCCGAAATGGCAGCACCAGCTGTATGCTCCCCAGAGTGTTGAAGAAAAAAGATATTGGCTGGTTGCAAAGGCCCTATAACCACGGATAATACTTTGTGAACCGCTTTGAGACGACTTACGAACTAGGTTGTGATAAAGCGGTGTATAAGAACCTCACATTATTATTGTTATCAATTAAATAGTAGTTTTCTATGAAAAAAATCTTTCAATGTTTTTTTGTGTGTTTTTTTTGCTTAGGTTCCGACTGGGGATGGCAGTATACATTACAGATGCAATGATATTTCACTGAAAAAATATTATTTCATTAATGTATGTAAATTCCAATTATTTATTATGGCAACGATAATTGAAAACATAAGTAAAAGTACTTCTCGCACGGATTGAGATTTGTGAAACGTGTGCATTTTGTATTTATGTCTATTCATGAATTGCCATTCTGGATAAAGAAGGATGTCAAACTTTCAGTATTATTGTGACGAGATTGAATGAAGGTAAACACGAGTAATCGATGTCCCTAGGTTTTTTTTGGTACTATATGTACTTTCTCTAGCCTCTTCCATTACAGTCGCGGCACTTCCTCGCATCATTGTATTATATTTCATCAACTAAATAGTTTATCAACATCTGTTTATCTGAAACGCTTTCTGCGATACCTGTAAAGTAAACAAAACAATACAATTAGTTGTCAGAAGTTGTTTAAGTTAAAAAACAACAACGTTACTTGTATGTTTATTTTGATTGTTACGCTATGTGAAAATGTGGTACATAGCTCCTTCCAAGGTCGACGAGAGGCAATGTACCCTTGACCCGAGTACAGGTAAATAGTTACACTGTATCTGCATCTGTATCTGCATGTAAATACATATAGATAAACGGATAGATAAACAAATATAAATATATTCAGCTGGGAAATTGGAACACGCTTAAAAATATCCGTACCATTGTCAAAAATTGTAACTAAGTCGGGAAACTGGTTTTTCCTAGCATGACTGTAGTTGTTTATGAAAAGAAAGCCATACGTTTTGGTACATTTATAAAAAATAATAATAAAGATGAATTAAATGAAATGCAATCAACAACAGTGTTCTGTGTGTAAAAAAGATCGGGATTCGAACCCTGTACAATACTACTCTCTAACTGATTGAGCCACCTAGTAAACAGAAGTGTATCAGCCCAACTATTCTACAGTTATATAAGTTAAGGGGAGGTTACTGCGTATAGGAAATACACAGTGCAGTGGACAAGGATGCTTAAAATAAGGAAAGATAAAGGTTGAAATAAGAAATTGTATTTAACCACAGGCTATATTCAAAAACACTTCAACTAGAATACCTACCTCATTAACTCATTTGTTCTGTATGCCTGATTATTTTTAGATTGCATTGAAACACCAACACAACCTATATAACAACTAAGGTGAAGGTTTAGTCCCGTTTCGCGAAAGTCCAATACCATCATCGATATTTAATACAGAAAGTGTAATATTTTATAAAAATTAAAAGTTTTTTGAAATTATTTTTCAAACACTTGATTATACGTCATCAAATAGATTTCTTATGTGTTGGGAGAGTTCTCTCTCTTAGCACAGTGGTATATTTTCTAATCCGGTTATCCGGCTGTGGTTTTAGATATTTCGACGTGCGTTTTTAGAGTGTTTGATCTACAACAAGCGGTAGACAGACCGGTTGAAATACCTATTCATTTACCATTATACCAATGGTCATGGTTTTCTTCGTGGTGTTCGATAGTACGTCCAACTGCTCGTCTTAGTTTGTGATTTAGAAGATAAGTTACTGTATCATATTACAGGACACTAAGGGTTATCGCTATGGAAGGCAGTTGTTATGGCAAGGAGTATTTACTTTGGCATGAAAATTGCGATCTCATGTTTTTACTCGGTTTAATTTGTTAATTTAACACACCTCAATCTTAAAAGCTAATATGAAAGTTAATTTGGGTGATTCTGTGACCCTTTGCTCACCCCAAATCATATCATGACAATATTTTGCCAATCAAACAAATAAATTTCAAAAATTGAAGTCAGCTGTGTTGCTCAATTTGTGTCTATTTGATAACAACGCTTACCTTTAAAATAACATCACATAGTTTCATTTCCGTATGTGTGATTTCTTACACGAGACCAATCCACCGTATTTATAGCAGACCTAAGGATTTATGATAACATGTCTATACAAATGTGTTACAACAATAAAACATGATATCTTTGTTATGGATAAAGGTAAAACACGTTCTCTACTTATTTCTTGATTTTGATCTGAGTCAAGATTAAAACTTTATATGGCAACAAAATAGATCTTCTGAGGCAAAATTATTAAAATATCTCTAATGATTCATCTCAAACTTTTTAATATTCTTTGATTAAAAACTAGTTGGTGCTTATTTGTAATAAATAACTTATCTGTCAATAAATTATAATCATATTAATACCAACAAAGCATACCAAGTGTCACGTGAACAGAAGTAATACAATTTGGGCGTGGCATGCTGTTAAAGTTGGTCGAGAGGCAGAACGAGTAGGCTCCTGAGTAGCACTACAACTTGGTCCCCACACAATGCTTCTGCGCTTTGCCGTTTCTCTCTAAAAAATAAGTTAAATGAATTCCAATATGCATGCCACGTCCTAAGATTTATTACTTCCGTTCAAGCGACAGTGGTACGTAATAAATTTGTTTCTTGGCAACAACTTTTTATGATATCGATAAAACATTAGTTAATGAATATTGTATTTTTTTCATTTTTATGAAAATAATTAATTAATAAATCCACTGTTTTTAGTTCATCAGATTTTGATTTCAATTTTTTTTTAACAACAATTATGAAACAACGTATTTCAACTTTTATTAGTCACTATTGTTGGCCCAGATGTTACCCTGAAAGGTAACAAAATATCTTATTCTTATAAAGTGTATTTCGATTCTTGCTCTTGCATATTAAACGCCTCCCGACTATTTGTAGTAGAAATGATGCAATTGTTATATGCTTTGATGAGTTTTGAGTGTTAAAATCAAGAAAACTGAGAAAGAGCCCCGACATGAGCCTGACCGTAACCACATGGTATATTTTAATAGCACATAATACTGGCCTATAACTTAACCTGAAAATCACCCTTTCATAAAGTAGTGTATTACCATGACGAATTTAAACAACGAGATTAGTTTGTTAGATTCCGCGTTAAGGAAAGTATTGACGGACGGACATTTTTACTATAGGTCAACCTATCTTATTTGCATTAACATACACACCTTCTGCAGCAAAGGTGATATCACAAACGATTTTGTATCAGGACGATGATTTTCGAATATAAAAAATAAATAACTGAAATATAAGGCTCATTTATTTCGACTGAAAGTATTCAAGCCTCAGATCCTATGCGTTCCATGTGCTCCAGGTGACCTTTATAGTCATGGGACATGTCATCATTAGCTTCCTTGTGAAATAAAGGAAATTGTTGCATTTTCTTGTTTCTTCTGTTTTTGTATTTTTCCTTTTTATTTATAGTTACTTTTTAAAATTCTCACTGAAACGCGAGTCATTTCGCCCATAAAAGTAGTTCTGGCAAACAAATTATATATCACTACACTGACCTAATCCCCGTTGTAGTTCATTGGAAAATATGTTACAATGGGACCAGTGGAGTTATCTAGGCACTATGCAGTGCAAATGTAAATATTACTATTTATTGACATGAATACCTGTAACTGAACTGAGATATATAGTGTTATCCATGTATTTATATTTATATCAGACATTAAACACATCTGTAGCCAAGACTAATGGCATCATTAATAGCATTTGTCTGTTTGGTGTTCTGCTTGTACATTCCATACATTAAACATCCACCAAAGGATAATCATATTCAAGCCATTTCTCCTTGATCTTATTTCTACATGTTTCTTATGGTATCATGCAACTGTAATATACACTTGGGTTAATTTTTAGGTCTTATAATTTTGGTGAATATCCTTTTTACAGGTATGATAAGTGCTCTGGGCCCCCCTGCACCCAAAGGGGCCGAATCTATCATTTATACAAAATTAAGACCCCTTTGCCCAAGGAGGCTCGGTGCTAAATTTGGATAAAATCCCCCAAATAGTACAAAAAGAAGGATTTAAAAGATTTAAACCTCAAATTTCCGTTTTGAGCCCCGCCCCTCTGTAACCAAAAGGGCCACAAACACCGTTAGTACAATATCGATTTTTTTTGGCCCAAGGATGCTCCAGACCAAATTAGGATAAAGTCCCTTAATTCTATGGAAAGAGAAGGATTTCAAAGGTTTTACCTCTATTTCCCCTATTGGGCTCCGCTAATTTACCCCAAGGGGGTCCGAACCCACCGTTTATACAAAATGAAGTGCCCTTTGCCTAAGGATACTCCAGACCAAATATAGTCAAAATATAATGGGCCGTTAAGGACAAGTAGCGTTTTAAAGAAAAGTTGTCGGACGACGGACGCTGTTGTACGTCATAAGCTCACCATGGTACTTCGGACCAGGTGAGCTTAAAATGGAGCATGTTAATAAATTGGTGTGTTGTGGCTTGTTTTGGAAAGCATCACTGACTTGTTTAAAAGTAGCATGGCTATTAGATAATGTTAATGTTTATTGCCATGAATACCTGTTACTGAGCTGAGGTATAGAGTGTAATATATATCAGACAATAAACACATATGTTACACAGACTTATGACAGTATTAATAGCCTTTGTCTGTTTATTGTTCTGCTTTTACATTCCATACATGTTCCTCTATTTTGGTGTCGTCTCGGTTCCTGTTGTTTTGGTGTTCCCTCGGTTCCTCTTTTTTGGTGTCGTCTCGGTTCCTGTTGTTTTCCTTGATTCTCGGTCCCTGTTGTTTTCTTGTTTCTTCGGTCCCTGATGTTTCGGTGTCCCCTCGGATCCTCTTTTTGGTGTCGTCTCGATACCTGTTTGTTTTCCTTGCTCCTCGGTTCCTGTTGTTTTCATGTTTCTTCGGTTCCTGTTGTTTTGGTATCTCCTCGGTCCCTGTTGTTTTGATATCTCCTCGGTTTCTGTTGATTTGGTTACTCCTCGGTTCCTGTTGTTTTCATGTTTCTTCGGTTCCTGTTGTTTTTGTGTCCCCTCGGTTCCTGTTGTGTTGGTGTGTCCTTGGTTCCTTTTTTTGTGTGTCTCCTCGGTTCATGTTATTTTGTTATTTCCTCGGTTCCTGTTGTTCTGATGTCAACTCTGTTCCTGTTGTTTTGGTGTCGTCTCGGTTCCTGTTGTTTAGGTGTCGCTCGGTTGCTGTTGTGTTAGCGTCTCCTCGGTTTCTGTTGTGTTGATGTCTCCTCTGTTCCTGTTGTTTTTGTGTCTCCTCGGTTCCTGTTGTTTTTGTGTCTCCTCGGTTCCTGTTGTTTTTGTTTTTCTTCGGTTCCTGTTGTTTTGATATCTCCTCTGTTCCTGTTGTTTTTGTGTCTCCTCGGTTCCTGTTGTTTTGGTGTTCCCTCGATTCCTGTTGTTTTTGGGTCGTCTCGGTTCCTGTTGTTTTGGTGTCCCCTCGGTTCCTGTTGTATTGGTGTGTCCTTGGTTCCTTTTTTGTGTGTCTCCTCGGTTCATGTTATTTTGTTATTTCCTCGGTTCTTGTTATTCTGATGTCAATTATGTTCCTGTTGTTTTGCTGTCTCCTCGGTTTCTGTTGTATTGGTGTCTCCTCGGTTTCTGGTGTGTTGTTGTCTCCTCGATCTCTGTTGTGTTGGTGTCTCCTCGGTTTCTGTTGTGTTAGTGTTTCCGTGGTTACTGTTCTGTTGGTGTCTCCTCGGTTTCTGTGGTGTTGATGTCTCTTCGGTTCCTGTGGTTTTGGTGTCTCCTCGGTTTCTATTGTGTTGGTGTCTCTTCGGTTCCTGTAGTTTTGGTGTCTCCTCGGTTTCTGGTGTGTTGGTGTCTCTTCGGTTCCTGTTGTTTTGGTGTCTCCTCCGTTTCTGTTGTGTATGTGTCTCCTCGGTTCCTGTTGTTTTGGTGTCTCCTCGGTTTCTGTTGTGTTAGTGTTTCCGTGGTTACTGTTGTGTTGGTGTCTCCTCGGTTTCTGTTGTGTTGTTGTCTCCTCGGTCTCTGTTGTGTTGGTGTCCCCTCGGTTTCTGTTGTGTTGGTGTCTCCTCGGTTTCTGTTGTGTTGGTGTCTTTTCGGTTTCTGTTGTTTAGGTGTCTCATCGGTTTCTGTTGTTCTGATGTCTCCTCGGTTCCTATTGTTTTTGAGTCTCCCTGGTTCCTTTTTTGTGTGTCTACTCGGTTCATGTTTTTTTTGTATTTCCTCGGTTTCTGTTGTTTTGGTGTCTCCTCGATTCCTGTTGTTTTGGTGCCTCCTCGGTTTCTGTTGTTTAGGTGTCTCCTCGGTTTCTGTTGTTTTGGTGTCTCCAGACGAAGCTAGTACATGTGAACTCACAACAATATACAGACAAACACGATTATTTTCATTAAGAATTTGTATTAAAGAGGGAGGTTGCTTTTGATCTTTTAATAGATCGGTGAAGTTACAGACCATCTGTCGTAATATATTTCATGAAGTGTTGACCTATTTCTTCACACTTATCAGCTGGCTTCTGGTCAAATTTCCGTTTTGAGCCCCGCCCCTCTGTACCCAAAAGGGCCACAAACACCCTTAATTCTATGGAAAGAGAAGGATTTCAAAGGTTTTACCTCTATTTCCCCTATTGGGCCCCGCTAATTTACCCCAAGGGGGTCCGAACCCACCGTTTATACAAAATGAAGTGCCCTTTGCCTAAGGATACTCCAGACCAAACATAGTCAAAATATAATGGGCCGTTCAGGACAAGTAGCGTTTTAAAGGAAAAGTTGGCGGACGACGGACGCTGTGGTACGTCATAAGCTCACCATGGTACTTCGGACCAGGTGAGCTTAAAATGGAGCATGTTAATAAATTGGTGTGTTGTGGCTTGTTTTGGACAGCATCACTGACTTGTTTAAAAGTAGCATGGCTATTAGATAATGTTAATGTTTATTGCCATGAATACCTGTTACTGAGCTGAGGTATAGAGTGTAATATATATCAGACAATAAACACATATGTTACACAGACTTATGACAGTATTAATAGCATTTGTCTGTTTATTGTTCTGCTTTTACATTCCATACATGTTCCTCTTTTTTGGTGTCGTCTCGGTTCCTGTTGTTTTGGTGTCTTTTCGATTCCTGTTGTTTTGGTGTCTCCTAAGTAACTGTTGTTTTGGTATCTCATCTGTTTCTGCTGTTTTGGTATCTACTCGGTTCCTGTTGTTTTGGTATCTTTTCGATTCCTGTTGTTTTGGTATCTTTTTGATAACTGTTGTTTTGATGTCTCCTCGGTTCCTGTTGTTTTGGTGTCTCCTCTGTTACTGTTGTTTTGATGTCTCCTCGATTCCTGTTGTTTTGGTGTCTCCTCGATTCCTGTTGTTTTGGTGTCTCCTCGATTCCTGTTGTTTTGGTAATTTTTCGATTTCTGTTGTTTTGGTATCTCCTCGATTCCTGTTGTTTTGGTGTCTCCTCGATTCCTGTTGTTTTGGTGTCTCCTCTGTTATTGTTGTTTTGATGGTTTCTCGGTTTTTGGTGTCCCCCCGGTTACTGTTGTTTTGGTGTCTCCTAAGTATCTGTTGTTTTGGTATCTCATCTGTTTCTGCTGTTTTGGTATCTACTCGGTTCCTGTTGTTTTGGTATCTTTTCGATTCCTGTTGTTTTGGTATCTTTTCGATAACTGTTGTTTTCGTATCTCCTCGATTCCTGTTGTTTTGGTGTCTCCTCGATTCCTGTTGTTTTGGTGTCTCCTCTGTTACTGTTGTTTTAATGGTTCCTCGGTTTTTAGTGTCCCGTCAGTTACTGTTAATGACTTTCATATCGATTTTGTCCTTGTGTACTATCTACCTTTAACACGTGACATTAGACCATGTATAGGAATTCCTATACCTCATTATGGCACTAAAAATACATCTTATGTGATATTTCCCGCATCGAATTAGCAGTAATTAGGATGTCATTGAGACAGATGTCGGGGTGATACAGCTCAAAGAAAAAAGAGAAGATAAGGTAAAAAACATCATTTGATATTGGTTCGTCGTTTATTTATTCGGATTTTGGTTTCGCGAGACGACGGAACGAAGTGGCGCTAATATTGTTGCTTCCCTAGCACAACGTGAAGGCAGTTAAAGTTCACCAGCTGTATTTTTATGGTTAACGTATTGGCGAACGAATTTCACTATCCTATATTAATTACAGACGATTTTTTTTACAGGAAGTATTTAATTCAATTCAATTGTATTAAGTAAAAAGGTACACCAAGTAATAATAACAAATCTATAGCAATAAATAATTATCGTAATCAGATATAAGATATATATTACCATAAAAAATGCAATTAAATCCATAATAATTTAGTAAAGTAAGATCGCAGAGAAAGATTTAGGTTGAGTAGGGAAGCAGTTGGCTAAACGCTGGCAAAACCCTATATATTACGGAAGGTCTAGTGTTGATCGTGCAAAGGGAGATAACTGGTACGAAGTTACGTCAGTATTTCGGGACAAAGCACAGGGACTAGCCTCCGTCTGTCAATATCCACATGATTATATCATAGGTGTATTGACAGAGGAAGCTAGTACATGTGAACTCACAACAATATACAGACAAACACGATTATTTTCATTAAATTTGTATTTAAGAGGAAGGTTGCTTTTGATCTTTTAATAGATCGGTGAAGTTACAGACCATCTGTCGTAATATATTTCATGAAGTGTTGACCTATTTCTTCACACTTATCAGCTGGCTTCTGGTCACTTGATATACTGTAACAAGGAAGTTTATAGTTAGGTGTCGTTTCTCTGTCTGCGAGTCAAGTTTTTCACATTCAAACAAAAACAGCCGACAATATGGCAAGTAGCAGATCCGTACGACGTGCCCAGGAACCCGTTACCTACACGTGTGCTTTGTGTGCCAGTGAAGACCGGGTACGATGGTATTGTAACGACTGCCAGGATAATGTATGTGACCGGTGTAAGGAAGCCCATTCGCGCGGTAAGAAAACCAAACACGACGAGGTGGTATTGATAGGAGAGGCTAACCGTCAGGGTGACAAGCCTGTACCAGAGGTATGTAAACTACACCCCGGTAAACTGTGTGACGTGTACTGTTGTGATTGTGACATACTGATGTGTTTGATGTGTTTTTCCCAGACACACAAACAACACAACTGGAAACATTTTGAAGACGAATTTCAAATCAAAAAGCAACATTTGCAAGAACATATGACAGCAATATCTGCTAGAATTGCACACTTCAAGAACAAGACGTCGAAGCATGGTAACAAAACATTCAAAGTTAACATTGATACAATGAGAAAAGACGTTAACACACAACGGGCAATGATAAAGTCAGAAATAGATTCTATCGCGGATGCAGTCCTGGCCGAGTTATCGTCCCTGGAAAAGGAAGAAGCAGTATTGCATCAAAAAGATTGTCAAAAATTGGAGAAAAATGTCAGAGAGTTGACAAGTCTGTTTGAAAAAGCGGAAATGACGGATACAACGAGTACATTTGAAATGGAAAGGTCATTGACGACAACTCTACCATTGTATGATGTTAATGTGAAGGATGTTCTACCGAAACTACCAAGCTTTGTTACCGGAAGTATCGACCGCGTCCTGTTGACGAAAATGTTAGGTGAATTACACCACGGGAACCAGTACGAGAAGACAGAAATCGACAGTAAACACGTTCAACGTCTCTCTAAGTTTACTGTTACTCAGCAAAATAGAATAATCTGTACATGTCCCGTCGACGACAGCCACGCGTGGTTATCAATATACCACCACCAGGGTCTGGTACTGGTCAACAGGGAGGGTATGGTCATAGAGACAGTAAAACTGGACTTCCGTCCGTACATGATCGCCATGGTCGGGACAACAGACATACTTATGACCAGTCATAACCATAGCACATTTGTAAATAAACTATCACTACACAACAAACAAGTGACAACATTTGCTGACATTAGACCACATAACGCATGTGATATCAGTATAAACGAGAGGGACGAGGTGGTTGTTAGTACAACTACACCAGACATGGTGGTACTGAATCAGGCAGGTACGATTGTGAGGAAGGTGACGTGTGGAATGGTTGGGCGGTTTATTACATGTTTGTCGTCAGGAGACATTGCAGTGTCGGACGCTGTTAATGTATTAATCATAACAGACAGATCTGGTACAAACAAATATAAATGGTCTGGTGAACTCAACAACGGTCAAAAGGTTGGTAGTAGGACACCCTATAAGTTGTCATGTGACAAGTACGACAGACTGTTTGTACCAGATGTCACTAAAAATCAGGTGTATGTCCTACCGAGAGATAGTACACAGGCCACGTGTCTCCTGGACCAGAAACATGGAGTGATCAGCCCTACAGCAGTGGGTGTAGACACGTGTGGGAACGTGTGGATCGGGTGTTGGAACGGTACCGTACACGTGATGCGACTGTGGAGTTAGAACTTTTCTGTCATAACCACGAATTTCTGGACAATCCCTTAATTTTACCTGTACTTAACATTTATATAGAATTATATGTATCATTATAATGGGAAAAGTAAATAAAAAACCCATCAGAACGCTTGCATCTGGAAGATTTGTTTTCAGAATAAGTAAAGTGTGCTGAAAAAAATATCTTCCCAGATTTCTACGATTTGCCCGTGTCAACTCACACATTCCTTAGTTTTTTTTTCCATTTATCCTCTATAAAACAATTAAGTATTTTACTTACATCAATATCATTTAACTTAGAGGGTTGATTTTTGCCTATTGGCTGGAAAGCTATCGTTGTATTTATATAATTACTATTGTAAAATGATATTTACATTTTAAAATCATAGGTTATATATGTATGACAATTTGAAAGTGTGATTGAATGTTTTATGTATTGTATTGGGATATAATATACAATTTGGTATGTAACAACTTCATTGTTTGACATTCAACGCTATATTTATGTGGATTTATTAATGTAATTTTATACATGTAAACAGAATAGAAACGTATTATTGTATTCAATGATAAAATATAATCATAATGTAAATGTTTGATTGATATTTAAGTAAATGAACACATAAGAAAACGAACGATATATTTGAGAAGACAAGGTCCCATACTACAGGCTCAGATCGTGGTACCAATAAACCTTTTGACCCACCAATATTTAATCATATATATAACAAACAAAAAATACATTTGGGCAAAAATCTCAAAAAACGAGTTTACATTTCGGAAATTTCAGGCTTTGACAAAGATAAAAAAAAAATCATTTCATACGTTTTATAATCAGGGGTTTAATGAAATATCCTAATTATCTAAATATCAATATTTTCAATAGCACATATACCAACAGTGTGTTTAAATGTTTGTGTAACACATGATCTACTCTACCGATATAGCATGACGATTTGTAATCAGTTGATTTTCAAACGTGTGTAATATCACGTGTTTGGAAGAAATAAAACGAGTCTTACTTAATATATTTTTTATTAATATCACGTGTTATAAATTTATTAACATCCGTTGAACATGTTTTTATTAGCTCACCTGGCTTGAAGGGCCAAATGAGCTTATCCCATTGCGCAGCGTCCGTCGTCCGTCAACTTTTCCCTTTAAAACGCTACTAGTCCTGAACGGCTCAAAGGATTTTGACTAAATTTGGTCTGAAGCATCATTGGCCAAAGGGTTCTCAGTTTTGTATTAACGGAGGGTATTGTCCCCCTGGGGGCAGAGGGGCGGAGCCAAATAAGGGGAAAATAGGTAAATCTTTAAAAAATCTTCTTCTTCTCAACCAATAGAAGGATTTTGATCAAATTTGTCCTAGAGCATCTTTGGACAAAGGAGACTGAGGTTTGTATAAACGGAGGGTGTTTGCAACTCTGGGGGCGGAGGGGCGGGGCCAAATAGGGGAAATAGAGGATTATTTTTCTCCTACTATACATGTGAAGGGATTTAAACCAAATGCAGTCTGAAGCATGCTTAGGGACAAAAGAATCAATTTTGTTTAAACTGAGGTGTGTGGACCCCCTTCTTTGGGGCAGATGAGTGGGGCCCATTAGAGGAAAAAGACGAAAACATTAAAGATCCTTCTCCTTCTGTACCGATGAAGGGATTTTAACCAAACTTGTTCTAGAGAATCTTTGGTCAAAGGGAATTGAATATTTATAAATGGAAGACCTGGGAAACCGAGGGTGACGATAAAGACCCTGTCAAAGTTTTCCAAAAATTGAAACAGTACTGTAATCCGCGTTCAAATAAGGTGATTGAATCACACAGATTTTGGTGTGTCACGTGGCAAGAATCTTTCGATATTTTCCTGACTGAACTGAGGAATAGGGCAGATCGCTGTAATTTTGGCACACTGAAAGATCGTTTGATCAGGGACAAAATTATCATCACCAGTCAAGGTAAACTTCAACTACAATTATTGAAAGATGACAGCAATACCCTGGAAGGTACAATTAAACTGTGTCGTGCGTTCGAGCAATCTACCAATCACATAAAAGAACTCCGAGAAGGCGGAAATGCCTCGCTGAGCAGCAAAGTAAACAAACTGTACAAGGCGTATAGGAAAACAAGTACTGACAGTAACAGTAAACGGAGTCCACGTTCAAGTCAAGGTTCTGGTAAAACAAGTACTTGGAACAGTGGAAAACCGAGTAATTCGTACGCAAAGAAATCGGACGAAAGACAAAACAATACAAAACTTTACAAGTTGAAATAAAATTGACCTTGACCGCACGTACCTTGTTCCGCCATCTTCTTTTATCAACTTCTGAATAGGAGCTGCAGCATCATTTGTATTTATAGTGATCTAATTTTAGCAACATATCAATGCGCGCATGTAACCTGTCGGACCGCATCACTCATACACCAACATACCTCCTTCCGCAAGTAAAAGTAATTATGTAAAAGCATGGAAAGTCTGACTGCATAAATTATATTAAAACAAATCAAGTCAATCAGTACAATCACATGTGTGTGCCTACGTTCCTACCTCTACTACAGTCGTTATCAAATTTACAGAAATATTTAATCTTTATTCAAATCTAAATATAATACTAGATTATATTTGTCAAAAGACAGTCATAAGTGGTATGCTAAGGTGTATTTTAATTCAATTTCAACCACAGAACAATGGTACTGCACTGAGGGTTTGTCGTTTGGGAAGTTTCCGATATACTTTCAAAGGTACAAGTACGCTGATATAAACATAAGAAAGCCATATTTAACGGTATACAGTAATACAGAGAGGAGTTTGTGTTATCAGTACGTGACGTGACTTTTATCAGTACAAGACTTTTATCAGAGCTACAGGTTCACACACTATCAACAATGCCCTTAGTCATGTAAATCAGGACAAGTCAAAACTGTCCATAATTACCATAATTCCTTCTTTCCCCTCGTCTACTGATGAAAAAGGGTTGTCTAACATAAACCGTCACGTGATTGAGTTATTGCTACATGTAGTAACTTTAGATGTGTACACATTGCATAACACAAGTGAACACAATGTATAATAAACACCTGTAAACATTGCAACACACGTGTACATATTGTATTACACACTTGTACAAATTCCATAACACACGTGTTCAACTTGTATAACAAACGTGTACACATTGTATAACACACGTGTTCAACTTGTATAACACACGTGTACACATAGTATTACACACTTGTACAAATTCCAAAACACACATGTTCAACTTGTATAACACACGTGTACACATTGTATAACACACGTGTACACAATGTATTACACACTTGTACAAATTCCAAGACACACGTGTTCAACTTGTATAAACACGTGTACACATTGTATCATACACACCTGTAAACATTGCAACACACGTGTGCACATTATATGACACACATGTATAAAACACATTAAAGATGTACATACATTGCATTTTATAGCACACATGAGTGCATACTGTATTTCACATGTATACATTGTATATAACACGTGTACACATTGCATGTGTACACAACTTGTATAATAGATTAACATATGTTTAAATGTAATCTTCTATTTACAGATTGTTCTCAGCTATCAAAGATGAATGTTACACACACACACTGATGTGATTGCGTCTATCGATTTTGGAAATAAGTCGGTCGTTGTATTTATTCTAAATGTTGAACGTTAAACAAGTAATAACTACTATTTATACAAAAAAATGAATGTCCCGTTCAAGGGACACAAAGATATTGCTTTACTCACTTAGGAGAAGATTCTACAATATTGACAAAAAAGAGGTTGTTGTAATGGGGCATTACACACAGAAATCACCAGGTCGCATAAGTCATAGTTAGCGCGTTGTACACAGCATTGTCGCCAGTGAGCTTTCAAACACTTGTTAAGGGGCGTTGAAGAAACGAAAATTGATCTGCTGCCCCCATTTCAATATTTTGAATCTACATCAATTCATGTTGCCTTGCTCGTCCTTTTGTTAGGCACCGTTGGCATGCCCGTAGCTGTTGTGCAGATGGTTAACTCGAAGTAAGCAAAGAAACCTGTTAATATAGATATTGGACAAAGACCTACAGGTGTTGAAACAAACCTTACTTACAAGTATTATCAAAAGCTTGATTGGGGAATGGTCAAGGTCGATGTATCGCCGTTTATGCATTATGTACTCTTATCATCGCTGTTCTTTGTATGTGTGAGTATCGTCGATGTAACAAGATTGACGGAACAGCATTCCAACACTCTTCGTTACTTGAGCGACTAATTCATTTCAATCTTTCAATATTACTAAAAGTGGAATAGTAAGCGTTACACTGAACAGTATAATACTGAATAGATCATGTTAGCTTATTAGTTCTGTTACATCTTTTCGTTATTGTGCTGTTTCAGAAGGCGACGGATGGATAATTCTCAAAAACGATCACCTCCAGACACAAAAGTGTCCTTTTTTCGTCCTTTCGTTTTCGTGTGTTGCGAGTCGACGGAACGAGGTAAATATCGTAGCTTCGACTCAACCAGCGACAGCGCGAACTACAACACCAACCAATTATGGAACTGAGTGTTGTACTCATGCAACTGCTCTCCTGCTAAAACCAATTTACTGTTTTTTTTAAGACCAATTTATAAAATGTAAAATTTGGCAAAGATTTGGAAGAATTTGTTAGAGAATAAAAGCTGAATACTGTTTATCAATGTTAACACTTTATTATTTGACCACGTCACATGATTTAAGCAAGTTATAAGAAAGTTGGTTTGTAAAGGGTTTTTGCATGGTTTTCGAGTAACAAGGGATTTATTACACCCGAGCGAAGCGAGGCTGTAATAAGTCCCGAGTGACGAGAAATCATGCAATAACTGGCTTACTGCATGCTTCCCAACTCGAACAAAGCAAGAAAATTGAGTAAAAAATGTTCACCTGGACAATCATTTTACATAACCTACAATGCAGATCATTTACATTTCTCGTCTTAGTGAGAACTAATCAGAACCAGGTAAGTTTGTCTTTATTTTAAAATAGCCGTGTCTGAATGTATCCTTCATAATGGATACAAGTGTTTTCGGATTACTATCCAGCTCCAGTGTCAGGGAAGGTAAGGAGTGTCTGTTCAACAATTAGAACAAAATAGGGAAACAATGTTGAATACTGACACCATTTTCAGTTTAATTTTCAGGATGTGGCAAAGGTACAGGATATTGAAACCATTTTCATGTATACGATGTAAGGGTTTATCAATCCCTAAGGAATTCCAGTTCTTTCAATGAATGGTATATTTGAATGTGCAATTTTGTATA